CCCAGCCCACCTTGGACCCCCACTTGCCGCCGTTCTGAGACTTTGGCCGCTGCCGATCAGCGCGACAACGATCATTGTCACATGCTTTCCAAATCGCGCGCAATCGAAGACGCCCGCATTCTCCGGCCCGGGAGTTGATGAGCTCGCGATGCCGCCCGTTGGCGACAACGCGGTCCAGGGGGGCGGCCTGGGCGGCAGTCTCCGCCGCAACGGGGGGCAACCACAGGTCAATTGAGCACGCCGATTCCTCCAAGTCGACTTAAAGAAGTCCCGCGGTAGAGCCGCGAGAGCGTCGCCGGCGCGACCCTCGCGCGGACCCCCCCGACCTTTTGCGCCAGGTCTGTCTTGTGCTCCACGGGGGTCTCGAGAAGCTCTTCGTTGGGGCCCCTGGTCTCTCCATGGACGGCCTCGATCTGCAGCGCAACCTCACCTTGAAACGTGGCCGAGGCGAAGTGATGGGGTGCGGCCGAGGCGCCGGGGGCCGGAGCCGCCGCAACTCGGCCGCCATAACCACCGCCGCGCCCTGCGCCGATGGACTCGCGCACCGTCAATCCCCCCGGGAACGCATCGATCTGCGAGCCGCCCTCCGCGCGCGCGGTGGTCCGCGCGGGAGGCGTGTCGGGGTCGGGCCCCGTATTCTCCGTGGTTCTCCCTCGCCACTACCGCTGGCCGCCAAAGGTGCAGGCTGGCCCCCCATGGCGGACTGCCGGATGGCCTGCTGCGGCGCCGACTGGCCCCTCGGAGCCCCCGCCCCGAGCGCCGCGGAGCCCGGCCACCTCCGCGCCTCGAAACCAGTCGGCTTCCGACGCGGCGCCGGGCCCCGAGCCCCCCCCCCCAAGACAGCGCGCCAACCCGTCGCGCGCAAGACATGAATTGCAAGGCGCGCGGCCAGGAAGCACGAGAGCCAAAACTCGAGCTCGCCGGACCCCCATATCTCACTCGCGCGCCCCAGCATTTCCTCGGCGCCGGTGCGCGCCCCGAAAGCGCGCGGCCCCGGCTGCGCCGGCCCGCGACGCTCGGGCACCGGCCCGGCCTCCGCGCCGCCGCGGCGCACTCGCGCGAAAGCCCCCGCGGCAACAGACCCAGGCCCCCGACGTCATGATTTTTCATGGCGTCGACCCCCAGAGGCTTGAACCCCTTCCCCAGGACCGGCGTTTCCCCCTGAGTCGTTTTTTGACGGTCCCGAGGCCCGGAAGGGCCCCCAGAAGAAGAAGAAGAAGAAGAAGAAGAAGAAGAAAAAGAAGAAAGCCGTGCACGTCAGAGGTGCATTGGCCATGTGGCGAACATGTGAAATCAATTGTGCCAATTGAGCTGCCAGCCGCACAAATGATGCGAGACAGAAACAAGCACATGAGCACGAATTGAACGACTGCCCGGCGACAGGGGCCCCCAGAGGCCGAAAATATGGGAGAACCTCCCGTCGTGATTTTTGTCCTGACTCGAGGGCGTCTGGGCACGGGGCCCCGCCGCGTGCCCACTTGCCGCGAGCTCGCTGCAGCGCGCTGGGCCCTCCCCGACGTTCCATCCGCCAACCCCCGGGGCGGCGACGTGGCGCGCGGCCGAGGGGCCGGCGATAAAGGCCCCTATAGCTGGAGGCGCCGCCCCGGAGAGGAGCCTGCCCGAGGCCGCGGTTGTCCAAAGGGGCCCTGGGACACACACACACACACACACACACAGACACACACAGACACACACACACACACACACACACACACACACACACACACACAAATGAATACACGCAAATGAAAGGATTCTCAATATTTTTCCACATTTTGGGGATTTTCGACTTCCCCCCCACTTCCAATATTTTCCCCCACTTCCCATATTTTCCCATGTCTTCCTGGGTATCGACGATGAATTGTGTCTGTGTGTGTGTGTGTTTTTTTTCCCTCCTGATTGTCTACTCCTTGGGCGTGGCTTAATGGGGGGGTCACAAATGGGGGTCAGAAAAGGTCCCCTTTCGTGCCCCTTTCGGGCCCCTCCAGAGCCCCAGGGGGCTCGTTGAGGCACCGTTTGGGTACCTTTTCGGACCGCGCTCGCCACCCCCCCATGTATGACCCCCCCATTACGCGGCGCCCGAACTCGCCTCCGACGCTTTTTGGATTTTCGCCTTCCCCCCCACTTCCGATACTTTCCCCCCACTTCCTATATTTTCCCAGATGTTCCTGGGGATCGACGATGAATTGTGCCTGTGTGTGTTTTTCCCCCCTGATTGTCTACTCCCTCCTCTCAGACCTGGGAGACCGGGGCGGCCGCCCCGCGTCGCGCCGCCGGCGGGCCGCGCGGCGCCCTTCGCTGCGAGTCGGGAGCCCCGCGCGGGCCGGAGACCCGGCGCTCTGCCGGCGGAGCCCGACCCTGCCCGGCTCCGACCTTTCCCTATAGGCCAGCGCCGCCAACGGCGACGCCGCGACTCCAAGGCGGGCCCCTCGACCCAGACCCCCTCGAGCCATGAGAAAATCACGGCGGGAGGTTTTTCGCCATTTGCGGCTTCTGGGGGCCCTTACCGGGCCTCGGGGCCGTAAAAAAACGACTCAGGATGAAAAACTGGTCCTGGGGAATGGGTCCAAACCTCTGGGGGTCGACGTCATGAAAAAATCATGACCCTCGATCGTGAAAAACGACGCGAAGATCGGGACAAAATCGGATCGGGATAACTCGAAATCTCTGAGAATCGGCGGGTTTGGAGGATGTATTGGGCGCCGCGGCCGCTCCAGAGCGTGCCGGAACGCTCTGAGAGCGCTCCGGAACGCTCTGGAGCGATTTATCCCGATCCTAGCTCTGTTTTAGATCGTGCCCGGGGTGCCCTCGCCTTCGCCGTCGCCCGGGCCGCCCCGGAGATCAGAGACACTGACGCTGAGCTACGCGATGGGGCTTCCCCAGATGCGCGGCTGGGCGAACGCGGCGCCCGCGCCGGGTGGGCAGCCGCAGGCTGGCCTATTAATCCACTCGATAAAAAAACTCGAAGGTTGAAGGACATTGAACGGGCCTCGCTCGACTCCCCAGCCCTGGCCCATCAGAGCACGTGCAGAAACGTGTGTTAGGCAAACTGTCATCTTCTAACCAGTCCAGCATATATGGGTTCAAATACACAAGGAAGAGACATGGTGCTCGATGAAACCATGTTAGGGTGTCGGACTTTCTGCGGGCGCGCACTTTCCCCTCATCCTCATCAGCGCAGTCGCTAGCATCATCGTCAGCGTCATCACTGCCCTCATCACCCTCGTTACCACAATCGTCATCACCATCACCATCACCATCACCATCATCACCATCATCACCACCACCAACATCATCACCATCGTCGTCGTCATAGCCATCGTCACCATCGTCTGCAGCGTCGAGATCATCACCGCTGCCGTCATCGTCGCCGTCACAATTGTCGCATTCGTCAAATTTCTGCGCACGGGCACTTCGTCACCATCACCGCCAGGAACATCGCTATTACCATCGCCAGCGTCATCGTTGACTCGTCCCTATCATCACCACCAGCTTCATCACCGTCACCATCGTCGTCGTCGACGGCATCGTCCTCATCATCGTTTTCAACACCACCAGAATTTGCGGCATCGCCGCTGCCGCGGGCCAGGCGGGTTCTGTCAACAACTTGCGCGTGGATGGGGTGAATGTTTGCGCGAGTAGTGAAGTTGACGACTTCAACCTTGACCAGCGAGTGGCCTCTCGTCTGGTCTTCACCTGGGCCTCCCTTGTTGATGCCCTTCAGGGTCTCCCTTCGGGGCCCCACTGGGGTCGCTTCTGTGGTGTCCCGCGTGGTCTCCCGCAGGGTCTCCCTTTGGGCCTCCTCCATGGTATCCCTCTTGGTATCCCTCACGGTACCCCTTCCGGCCTCCCCCTGCCCTATGACTCTCACATGGTCTCCCGCATGGCCTCCCGTATGGCCTCCTTTTGGACACGCCCATATGCTATTCCCGATGCAACCATCACGTTTTGTGCATCGCTTGCCGTAGTGACCTCCTGAGCAATCGGATGAGCCATGCAGGGTCTTCTGCCGCCACGGGTGGAATGTGAATTTCACCCAGATGACAGATGTAATCCCGACGACCCTTCGAGAGCTAGGAAAAGCGCTGCAGGTAAAGCTAACTGGATGACGCTGCTAGTCATGCTTCCCCCTTGTTGACCCGAAAATGTGAAAGTTCGAGCGCAATTAGTTCCGTTCCGCCTACACAAGATGAGGTAACTGGAGCCCGCTGGCGGATATGGGCAAGGCTTTCCTGAATGACAACGGGCTTTGCCAGGGATAGGGCTGCATCTTGTTCAGCTCCACCCCTGTAGGCTCGACCGCTGGTTCACGCGGGCTTGAGTGCAATGCTCTGCACTGCGACACGCAACAAGCCCCCGTCAAGCTCGTCGATCCCATAGCCCGACCTCCGCTGCGCCTTTCCAGAAATATGTTCATATGTTCTTCCATCTTCTTGGCAATCTCCCCGGCGGTACGGCTTGCACGCGCCACCCGAATAATCTGAACGTCTGTCACGCGCCTCATCGGCTTGTCGTGCTCTGGCTGTCAATTTGCGCCTTCCGCTTCGCATGGCTCGACACAAATGGTTCCGCGACGGCCCCTTTCTTCTAACTTGGTTTCATGTCAAACGCGTTGGCATCCTGCTGTCACAGTTGCAACCAAGGTCTCTGCCACAGCAGCTGTTTCGTGGCCACCCCTCTTGCCTTTTCTCTTGTGATCGCCATGCCTTTGGATGCGCTCGCCATCAGACTGGATCGAAGGGCTGGACACACGCGTCGTGGCTCAACACAACTTGAATTCTTCGACGACCGCTTGAGCCAAGCTGGTCGTAACAAAACGAGAGAAAAAGCAGGGGCTAAGAGAAGCAAACGGAAGAGCGAGACGATGAAGAGTCATCCCTTTCGTCATTCGCCCAAGATCCCAAGCCCTACAAGAAAGCGAGCCTCCTCAACATCGCTTTCCGGCACCCCATTCGTGTCTGGCTCGGGCAAGCCCTGCCCGTCCCCCCCCTAGAAAGGGCCTCCTTGAGGTCCTTCACCTCCCAACCCTTCAGGTCGAGCAACACCCGGAAGCTGCCCCGCATCAGCCGCTCCGAGACTGGAGATGGCGGGAGTTGGTTCAGCGGCGACTTGTCCATCCTCCTCCCTCCTCCAGCCTCCTCCCCATCCCAGCGGCCTTGTCCCTCCTCCCTCCGCCTTCCTGCTGCTCCTATTCCTCCTCCCTCCTCCTGACGTGCTGTCTCCTCAGTCTCCTCCATCCTCCTCCCTCCCTCCCTCCCTCCCTCCCTCCTCCTCCTCCGCCTCCTCCTCCTCCTCCTCCGCCTCCTCCTCCTCCCTCCTCAATTTCTCCTCCTCCTCCGCCTCCTCCTCCTCCTCCCTCCTCAATCTCTCCTCCTCAATCTCCATCCTCCTCATCCCGCCCCATGACGCCACACGTCTCTCTTCGGGCCGAGGGGTGGTGGCGGCTGGCGCGGCATGGCACCCTGTGGCCCACCGGGCTCCTCCAACCGACCAGCCACACTTGGGGACCCAGACCCCCGACGTCGTGATTTGTTCACAACGTCGACCCCCAGAGGTCTGGACCCCTCCCCAGGACCAATTTTTCATCCTGGGTTGTTTTTTGACGGTCCCGAGGCCCGGTCCCGTCGTGATTTTTTCACAGCGCGACGGGGTCTTGGGATGCTGTGCCCTTTACTCTCCATGGGAAGGGAGAACCCATCGTACCGACGATGCCTCCAGAGAGGCGTGTCGAAGCCGACGAGCCCCCTGGGGGTGAGGGCCACAACTCCCCCGTTCGGGGCTGGCTCGCCCACGTCCCGCTCTCGCGACGACTCGCCTGGGAGCACGTTCTGCATGGGCCTGCTGGGGCCACGGGTGCCGTCGTCTCCTCCCCCCTTGCTCGCTTGGGCGCACTGCTAAGCCCGCGCGTCCCCTCCCCGAGGGCACGCGGAAGAGCCAGCAACTGCTCCCCCCGCACTGCCCCGCAGGGACTCGTGATCGTAAGGTAGCGAGCCTTTCTTTAACGGGCGAAGAACGGTACAAAATTCGCCGGCCCAACGGGCCAGAGGCGTGCTAAGATCTCCGGTAACTGGTTACTGCAGGTTCGTGTCGTGCCGACCCCGGCGTTGGTTCCCGACACCGCGCTGGATCGTTCAACCTTGAACGATCGGCCGCTGCCGCAACGTGTGATCGTTCAACATCGATCGATTCTGGGTCGCCGGCGGCGTTCAACCTTGAACGCCCGCGCTGGGGTCGCCGCCGGTCGACACGACGCAAACCTACCGTAACAATTCTCTAGTTCGCGCGCGCGGGGCGGCCCCTGGGGGTCCCCGGACGAAAAGTACCCCAGGCGATCCCCGACCGATCCCCGGGAGACTGCCCCAGAGCGCTCCAGGAGCGCTCCATGAGCGCACCAACAGGGCTCCGAGACGTCCCCGAGAGCCCCAAGAAAGGCCAAGAGGCCCCCAAGAGGCCCCCAAGATGGTACACGAGGGGTCCGACATGCCACAAGATCGCTCCAAGACGCCCAAGATAGCCCCCAGACGCCCCAAGAGGCCTCCAAGAGCACTCCCAAGAGGGCCCCCGGAGGCAAAATTTATTGTTTTTCCTTAGGTTTTTGAGAGATTTTGGAGCTTCCACCTTTTCGGCTTCCCGACGCCCCAAGACGGCCCAGAGGCCCCCAAGATCGCCCCAAGAGGGCCCAAGAGGCCCCCAAGAGGGCCCCAAGATGGCCCAAGAGGGCTCGAAGACGGCCCAAGAAGCCTCCAAGACGGTCCAAGAGGGCCCCAAGAACGCCCCCAAAGGGGCCCCAGAGAGGGAACACGAAACAACATTTCGAGCCCTCGGCCTTAAGAAGCCCCTACGAGGCCCTCAGAGGCCCCTAAGAGGCCCCAAGAGGCCCGCACGAGGCCCTCAGGAGGCCCCCAAGAGTCCCCCAAGCGGCCCCAGGAGGCCCCGCAAATGCCCCCCCGAGCGCCCCAGGAGTCCCCCAAGCGGCCCCAGGAACCCCCAAAGCGCCGAATTGACACCAGGCCCTCGGGCAAACATGAGACTGTATGGGCCGGCGGAATGAGCGAAGCGATTATATAATCTTTCCAGCCGCCCTGGGGCAGGTGTCCCCGATAGCGAAAAAGTTGATTTTATACCGTTCTTCGCCCGTTGATTTCTCATGGGGCCACGGAGCTCAATCCTTGAGCAACGTGGTACGCCCCCCCTGCCGGGCCTGGTGAGAAGGCAGGGCTGTCGCACGACCGATCGCAGGGGATGTTGGCAGAAGCGCGCATGGCACCAGCGTAGGTGTTTTGACGTTGAACCCGCTTATGCGGATGTCCTTGTCCTTGTCCTTCTCCTCAGGTTCGGGAGGAAGAACAGCATACGCCCGTGCGCTGCTCTCTTCGGCCGATGAAGGTCTTGGCGGGGCCGGAGGCCGTGGCGCGCGCGCGGTCCCAGGGGAGGCCCGCCGGGCCCTGCCGGCGAGCAGGAGCAGCAGCAGAGCTTTGCCGGCAGTGCTCTCGCAGAGGTGCTGGATCTCAGGGCGCGCGCGCGCGCTTCCACCACCTGGAGCTTACGGCCGCTGGCAATGGGCAAACTAGATCCCGAACCTCGAAGGGCAGACGGAGCACAATTGACAGACAGACAGACAGACGCCATGCACAACATAGGTGCGTTGGCAGACGTTGTGAGACATACTAGACAACTGGGTGAAACGGCAAGCGTGCTAAGCATAGGAGGAGGAGGAGGAGGAGGAGGAGGAGGAGGAGGAGGAGGAGGAGGAGGAGGAGGAGGAGGAGGAGGAGGAGCACAATTGATGAGGAGAAGCAGGAGAAGTCAAGCCAATCCATCCAAATCGAGAATCTGGGAAGGTGCCCCAACCCCCTACAGTCCAAGTCTCGCAACCCAAAAGTGACACATGAGAAATGACATCCATGGTTTCCGATTCCGTGCAGAGATGCCCCGATGGAGATCCGAAGGAACGATCCACTCGAACCTGGAGTCCAAATTCCGCCTCCCTTTTTTTCCCGCCGCATCGCACGATTCGCAGGTGTCGAATCATGACACATGTGGTGCAAGCGCAGCATGCCCCAGCCTCTCCATCCTCAGTCCTCCTCCCTCCCTCCCCCTCCTTCTCCTCCTCCTCTTCTTCCTCCTCCTCCTCCTACTTCTCCTCCCTCTTCATCCTCTTTCTTCTTCCCGCATCCTCACTCCTTTTCTTTCCTCCTCCTCCTCCTCCTCATCATCATCATCATCATCAGTCTCATCCTCCTTCACTCTCCGCCCTGCTGAACCTGCTGCTGCTCCATCCCTTTCATTATCAACAACTCCTCCCTGTCGCCCCGCGGGGAGTGTCGGTAGGGCGGGCCGGGCCGGGCGTTTCATCCGAGACTTCCTCGCCGTGTATGATCCTGAAGCTTGAAACTTGCAACACATTCGCGTTTGGACAGCGGGCCGTTTTCAAAATGTGGCTCTCGCTTTAGCGCCGAAACCGTTCGTCTGATGAAAAGTTTGGACCAGTTTCACTGGTGGGGGGCGGGCAATTTTCAAAATGTGATTATCTTCTTAGCGCCGCGCACAATCGCCTGAACCGTTTGCATCAGTTTCACGGGTGTAGGCTGGGTCGTTTTCAAAATGTGGCTCTCGTCGCAGCGCCGCAAGCATTCGTTTGACAAGTTTTCAGCAGCTTCACAGATGGAGGGCGGGGCGTGTTCGACATGTGGCTCTCGCCTCAACGCCGCGCACATTCGTCCGAAATGTTTGCAGCAACTTTACGGATGGAGAAGGCCGTTTTCCGAATGCGGCTCTCGCCTTAAGGTCGCGAACATGTGTCTGAACAGTTTTTAAACTTCTTCCCATCTCAGATGGAGAGCGGTTCCTTTTCAAAGAGTGGTTCCCGGCGTAGCGCCGCGCACATTCGTCTGAAAGGTTTGCACATTTTCACTGGTGGAGGGCAGGCAATTTTCAAAATGTGGCCCTCGCCTTAGCGCCGCGCACAGGGTGGTCTGAGAAGTTTGCAACAGCTTCATAGATGGAGGGCGGTTCCTTTTCAACGTGTGGCCCTCGCCTTAGCGCCGCGCACATTCGCCTGGAAAGTTTGCACAGTTTCGAAGACTCGTGCGGTCGAATTCCCAGGAAGTGTGTTCTGGCACGATGTAGGATTGGCAGGATGTTGGCTCGCGGTGTAGATGTCACAGGAATAATATTCTGGCACTACTTAAAATTGTCAGGCCACAAAAGTCACGTCGATCTAGGGCGTTGAAGTCCCAGAGACGGTGTTTCGGCACGATTCAGGACTCTCAAACGGTTGCCCTCTAATGGGCCACCTCCCGCAATGAAACTGAACCATTGTCGGGACCTGCAGAGGGAACTCGGAGGGAGAGTCCGTTGCAACATCGTTGATGCGTCCTGGGCTTACACTGATCCTCCCTCCTCCTCCCTGTCCTCCTCATCACCTCCGCACCTCTTTCTTCTCCTCCTCGCTTCGCCTCCTCCTCCTCCTCCTCCTCCTCCGCCTCCTCCGCCTGCCCCCTTTCCCCTTCTCGCCCACCCACGTCCGCACCTAGCCTCCCTCCCTTCCGCGCCTCGCCCCCGCAGATCACGGGGGCTCCAGCTGTCTGATGGGGCACTTGGCGCCACGCGTCCCAAGCCGAAGGCACAGAGCCACACGGGCCCCGGCCGCCGCGTTCCCCGATCAGGGGAACCCTGCGAGATATCCCCCTCGAGAATGCAGGCGGCGTGCTCGTGCCCTTCTCCTACACATGCGCTCTTTGCCCGCGCGAGCCTCGGAAGAGACACGAACCCGTCCCCCCTGGCAAGAATGATTTTCCACGATCACCACCATAAGTTGGAGGGGGGGAGGAGGTGGAGGATGAGGAGGAGGAAGAAGAGGAGGAGGAGGAGGAGGAGGAGGGCCCCCTCCCCCTCCTACGTATGGTGTGTGCGATGGAAGGCAAGCCAACCAAAGAATACATGCCTGGCCGCATCTCCTACAATACCTGGGCCATTCTCTCGGGAATCGTCCAAGCGCGGCGGCGAGGTGCCTCCCAAGGACCAAGCGAAGCTGCGAAGTACAGCGCGGGCGCGACCGCAAGGAACCCTCGCCAAAAAACCGAACCCTGAGAAACCGTGCGCGAGGTGCGCCTGAAGGGAAACCCAGAGCACCCTGAACGTAGCAGCTCCTTCAACAGCTGCGGGAAGTCACCGCGCGGCGCGAGGAGCGAAGACCCCCAGGATATTGCTGCGCGCACCCCCACTGTACTTGCGCCGACAGACACGATCCCCGAACCCTTCCGAAATCGGGAGCGGCCAAGAGGGGGGTGTCCAAGAGGGGGGGGTGCAAATCATGACCGGCGGCATGTGCGCGGCCCAGCGGGGGGGCCAGGGACGTAATGAAACAAGAAGAGGCGCCATGAAATCTGGAGAAATATCATGGCCCACGCCATGATATCCACCCCTCCCTAGTCCTCACCCCCCTCTTTTCCGCCCCCGAAAAAAATGGCGCCCTCCTTCTGTTTGTGGGGAGCTCCCGGTCAAGCAGTCGACGCCCTTGCCCAGCCAGCAGCGGCTGTCCTGGCACCCGGCAGCACACGAGAGCGCCGAGACTGGGGTCGCGGACTGCGAGAACACGCATCGAGACTTGGGGACGACGCGCCAGATGGAGGGCAGCATGAGCACGAGGAGCATGGGTACTCCAGATTTCGTAATAAAGGGAGGGGGGTCTCATTTCGGGGGGGGTCTCTTCCAGGCCATCTTGGAGGGCCTGGGGGGTCTGGGGACGATGTTTTGGAGGGTTCTCCCACGGGGGAGGTCTGAAATGGCTTGTCTTGGAGGGTCCAGACCCCCTCGCTTTTATTACGAAATCTGGAGTAGATCCCGTGGGAACAGGCACGCGTAGGAGGAGGACCTTGAAGAGGAGAAGAGGGGGAGTGAGATTCGGAGGAAAAATATGGATGTTGAAAGAACGAAGAACAGAGAGAAAGAGAGAGAGAGGGCCAGAGTGAACCCAAGATGCATCAACGATGCTGCAGTACTACCTCCCGTCCCAAGCCCCCTCCCCCTGAGTCCCTACAAGCCTTCCTTTCCACTGCAGGAAATGCTCCCTTGAAAGACCAGCTCCCTATGGCCCTGCCGTTCAAACGAGAGCCCCGTTTTGAAAAAAATGCCTTGCATCCTGTGCGTTAGAAAATGCGCAACACAAGCACGTAGTAGTACGAAGATCGGGAAGGTGTCCAACGAGGTCCCCGGGTTGAAAAAGGACTACCCCACCTATGTAGGTGTTGCACATGTGTGTAAACTGCACATGAACTTCGAACACATCTCAAGAGAGACCCCCTTGTTCCATCCGTGCAGTCGCTCCATCCGCGCAGCCGCTATAGTGCAAGCGTCTGCTCTTCCGGCTGCAAGAGCGAAGCCAATATTTGAAAACAAGCCGCCCTTCATCCGTGCAACATGAAAATGTGATAAACATTGAACAAATCGCGCGGCGCTGCGGGCGGGAGCATAATCCTGAAAAGGAAGCGTCATCCCTACATTGTTGTACCAGCTGCAGGTTTTTATCACGAGTGGGCGCGGCGCTGCGGATACACCCCCAGTTTGAAAAGGAACTGCTCTCCGTCCTTGATTATGCTGTCGCAACTTCGTCAGACGAGTGTGCGCGGCGCTAGGGCGACACCTCTATTGGGAAAACGATTCATCTCTCCATCCTTGTACCTGTTGCAAGTTCATGGCGAATGTACGGGGCGTGAAAGCTGGACTTCGAGCGCGACCCCTCTCCATCCTTGAAGCCGTTGTGAACTTTTAAGACAAATGTGCGCGGCGCTGCATCGACAACCCCATTGCACAGAAACTAATCCCCTACATACGTGCAGCTGTTGCAACTTTGAAGGTCCAGGGTTGGAAATGGTGTGGAATTCCAAAGCAAAACGCCCGGCCCGTCTTACCGACACGCCCGGGGATGCGACAGGGGGGGCTATCTAGAAGGAGAAGAAATGGGAGAGGAGGAGGAGGGGGAGGGGGGGGGGAGGAGGGAAGACTGTGGGTGTGGCTGATGGAGGATGGGGAGTGGAAAGCTGAAGGAAAAAGAGAGGATAACTAGGAGGTCGTGGAGGAGATTGCTGGCAATTCCAAGATGAACGGGGAAAAGCGCCTAAGTCGCCTGATGGGCCTGCACACGGACGGAACACCCCTTCGATTAGAGGAGCAGACGAAGCACAAACGTGATCTCTCGGAGGTCCGCGCGGATTCCTTGGATCGGCGCTGGGGCCCCCTCCCTGGCGCGACCAGGGGCGGCGTCGGGAGGCGCCGCCAGGGGAGGCCCGGCGCCGATCCAAGGAATCCGCGCGGACCTCCGAAACGTTACGTTCCTGTTGTCGGTGCTGGCCTTCGATCGATGCCGGCGCCTCTCCTCCTCCTCCTCCTCCTCCTCCTCCTCCTCCCTGCTCCCTTCCCCTCCTCCCTCTCCTCCTCCTCCTCCTCCTCCTCCTCCTCCTCCTCCTCCTCCTCCTCCTCCTTTGTACGTTAGTCCAACCTGGGCGTGAAGCTGTGGCGTCAGTCCTCGTCCTCCTCCTCCTCCTCCTCCTGCTCAATGATTCTGGAATTCGGATTCTCGGGGGCGGCCAAGAGGCGGGCGTCCAAGAGGGGGGGGCGCAAATCATGGCCGGCGGCACGCGCGCGGCCCAGGGGGGGGGGCAGGGACGTGGTGAAATAAGAAGAGGCGCCATTAAGTCTGGGGAGATAGCACGGCCGACGCCATCACCCTCTTTTCGGGCGTTGGCAGAATTGGGTTGAATGGGACCTGGTTTAATGGTGTGCACTGGGGGACGCCCCCTCCCCCGCCGCGTTCCACGAACCGGACCTGCCGTCAACCGAAAAACACCAGCTACGGCAGACCTGGTTTACTGATTCTGACCAATTCAGGGGCTCCGCGGCCCTACCACTGACCGGGTCCCCTTACCTGGGGTCCTAGCTATACCCCGTCTTTGCCGCCCCCGAGATTCGAGCATCTGCTGCGAAGCTGGGCGGCGCGCTGGGGAAAAGGAGCAGCAACATGGACGGACGTCCTGGGGTCTCAGGGTTGGGCTTTCTTGTGGAAGGTTTCTTGCGGTCGGGCCCCCACCGTAAATCCATTCTGCCGTCGATCCCCCTCTTCAGCGAGGAGCGCTGCTTTCGGGGATGGACAGACCTCCTTTTAGTAAAACGTGGTTTAGTGAAAACGACCTCGGGCCCAAACCTGGCGGGCGCAAGCCTGGAAAATAACGGCCGCGGCGCCCTCTCGAGAATCGAAAGCGGACAATCCACGAATCGACGTGTCTCACTGTTGGGGTTCTGTCCATCCGCGAGTCGTAAGGAAGCAAAACAATTCCTTTTGAACATGGGCCTAAAGTTCTGGTCATCGAAGGAAGCGCTTCCTGCCGTGACAAGGCGGCTCGTAGCTGCTTATGGGGAGGGGACTTGGGGGTGGAAGGCGTACAGTCGAGGCGCTGACCTAAGGAACCCTAAATAAGGAACGAGGTCCCTTGTTTTCCATAAGTGAAACTTTGATTTTCCATCGAAAACATGAGGGAAACCTGAGGATGCTTCCTCCGAGGAGAGCAAGCGGCGGCCACCCGAGGCCGCAGCCGCGGTGCCCCGCGAGAGCCACCGGGCTCTCCTCCGGGTCCACGGGCGCCCCTGCAGACCAGAGCTCCACCGCCCATCCGAGAAGTCCGCGCGGACCTCCGAGGGTGTGCGTGGTTTTGCCAGGCAGCGCTTCCCTGAAGGGGCCCCAGGACACACAAATACAGACACACAAATAAACAGATTCCCCATATTTTCCCATACTTTATCGGTTTTTGTCTTCCCCACCACTTCCCATATTTTCCTGGGAATCGACGATTAATTGTGTCTGTGTGTCTTTTGCCCTCCTGATTTCCCCACGCCCCTTGCTGGCGTAAGGGCGCCGGCTTCGAGCCACGCCTGAAGCTCCGCGAAGGCTATCTGCGCAAGGACCCTGGGCCTTCGGACGCCATTCAGAAGAGCGGGCCACGCTACCAAAGATGATTTTCTCATTGCGTCCTCTGTGGGAGGCCGCCGAGACGCCACCCGAGGCCCCCCAAGATTGCTCCACGAGCCCCTGGCAACTTGAGACGCCTCAGACTCTCCCTCAGGTCCATGCGTGCCCCTGCAGAGAAGAACTCCGGGGCGACCGGGATGCTCCTCGCATCGACTTGCTCCAGCCGCTTCTGTATCGGCTGCGTAAACTCACCGGTACCAGGCCCGCGCGGAGCGTCATGGCCGCCGTCAGGGAGAGCGAAGGCTTTCCCCGCGGCAGCGGCGGCGGCGGCAGCAGCCACGACTGCCGCGGGCCACCGCCACATGCGGTTCACCAACAGGCGGCTGGATCATGAGTTTACGCAGCCGATCAAGAAGCGGCTGGAGCACATCGATGCGAGGAGCATCCCGGTCGCCCTGAAGCTCTTGTCTGCAGGGGCGCACATGAACCTGAGGGAGGCGCCTGAGGCGTGCTCCATTTGCCAGGGGCCTTTGAAGCCTTCTTGGGGGCCTCGGGTGGCGTCTCGGCGGCCCCCTGCAGAGGAATCAACGACGTTTAAGCACACGCTTTCGGAGGTCCGCGCGGACGTCTCGGATCGGCGCCGGATCCCACTGGCGGCGCCTCCCTGGCGCGCCCCGATCCAAGAACTCCGCGCGGACCTTTGAGAGCTTCTGTTTGTACCTTTCTTGCTCCTCTCGTCGAGGGGTGTCCCGTCCCTCTTGCTCCCTCCCACCTAAGGAACCCTAAATGAGGAACGAGGCCCCTGTTTTCCATAAGTTAAACTTCGACTTCCTAGCGAAAACATGGGGAAAACCTGAGGCGAGCTGCGAAACACTTAAGGCACGCGGAGCCCCTCCCCAACCAAAAGGGTTCCTTCTTCAGGGCCCCGACTGTATGCATGCTTCTGCCAGGCCTTGCTCCCCGAGCCAGGGGCCTCTCGGGGGCCCGAGGCGCTCCGCGGCCCGCCGGGGGAGGCAACAGAGTCCGCGGACTCCTGCCGTCGAGCGCGGGAGGGGCCAGGGAGAGGCCTGGGAGCCCCTGGAGAAGGAGGAGGAGAAGGAGGAGGAGGAGGAGGAGGAGGAGGAAAAGAAAAAGGAGGAGGAGGAGTATCTGGAGTATGTGCCTGATCGCGTAGCGATGAAATGATAAAAATTCCGCTGCACCTACTGTAGGTGCTTGCTCCTCTGGGCTTGCTCAGCTTTGCTGAGAACCTTGGGCCAAAAAGGAGGAGGAGGAGGAGGAGGAGGAGGAGGAGGAGGAGGAGGGGGAGGGGGGGGGGAAGTGGGCCAGGAACCAAGGGACACCACCCCACCTGTGACCCAAAGGTGCTGAAAGTCTAGGCACTTGCCAACCTACGACTACCTACGACCCACCTGCAGCACCACCCCATCTACGACCTGGTTCGTAGGTGGGGTGGCGTCGATTGGTTCTTGGCCGAAGAAAAGGCTGATAGGGGATTCGAGGCCCCCGCTTTTCTTCGTCCCCCAGCCGTCTTCCCTGGGCGGATGTATATTTACGCGCACGTTGGCAGTAACTGGCCTTGAGACCACCGCAGACAGAGGCGGCAGGAGGGAGCGGGAGAAGACCTGGGTTATCGAAACGGGGCCAGCAGCGGAAGAGCCGCTAGCGGCGGCGGCGGCGGCAATGATGGGAACGGGGCTGGTCGAGTCTGCCCCCTGCTCTCCGTCGTTTTTGACGCTGGTCAGACTCTAGCGCAGTGGTTACTCTCTGTCGGCCTCCTCCACCTTCACCATCCTCTCCACCCTCTCTCTCCGTCCTGTCCACCCTCTCCACCCTCTCCACCCTCTCCATCCTGTCCACCCTCTCCACCCTCCTCCTCCTCCTCCTCCTCCTCCTCCTCCTCCTCCTCCTCCTCCTCCTCCTCCTCCTCATCCTCCTCCTCCTGCTCCTCTCTCTTCTCCTCTCTCTTCTCTCCTCTCTCTCTCCTCCTCCTCCTCCTCCTCCTCCTCCTCCTCCTCCTCCTCCTCCTCCTCCTCCTCCTCCTCCTCCTCCTCCTCCTCCTCCTCCTCCTCCTCCTCCTCCTCCTCCTCCTCCTCCTCCTCCTCCTCCTCCACCACACTCTCCAGCGTGCCCCCCTCGTCCCCGCCATTCCATCACCCTGTCTGCGGCCGCGTCCTTCCCTTTGAGCTGCCAGCTGTTGCACTGCGGGATTTTCTCGCAGGCTTCCTCGCGGCCGTGGCTATACGAACACGACGACGGCGGCGCAGAGCAGGGGGAGCTCGCCGCCCACGGGCGCACGGAGGCCGGGGCACGTACGCCGACACCTGCTGCTGGTCCACCCTCCCGACTTCCAGGCAAAAGACAGGAACACGGAGGACCAGACTCGGGCATTGGCAGGACTGGGTTCAGTGGGACCTGGCTCAATGATGTGCGCTTGGGGACGCCTCCCGCGCACCACTCCACAAATTGGAACTGCCGTCACCCGGAAGACACCAGCTACAGCAGATCTGGTCCCGGTTTAATGATTCCAGTCCATATATGTCATGCTTCGGGGCCCAATCGCCAGCGTGCTCCCCTTGACCGAAATCCTGGCTACACCCGAAAGGGGAGGGGGAATGGGGCGTAAACGGTTTGAGCTTTCGGCGTTAATTACCCATACCACCTGTGCAGCTTCGCGCTTGGCGCTCCGCAGAGCGCGACGTGCGACCATCTTCGCGCTCTCGTGCGGGGCGGCGCTGGGCACCCCTCGCGGAGAGCTGGAACCGGCGAAGCACAGCTAGCCGAAGGATCGCCGATAGGCCCCCGGAAGCGAGTCCGCGCGCGCCTGGGCGGCCTGGGCCACACGGCCCCCGTGGGCGATCAAGTGGCGACTGGGGGTCGCTGCGTCCCCCATTGAGCCTGAGGTCCGCGACTTTTGCTCAGCGTGTCGCGGCGGCGGCGGCCCGGGCGACACGCTACGCCCTGCGTCGGTGCGAGGTGCCTTTTCACCACGAATGGTTCTGCCTCGCTGCGGGCAGGGCAGAACCGGCCAAGCCTTAAGCCCTCCCTCCACACCTAGCGTCGGGGCGGCTTGTAGCAGAAAACGGCGTCGGGAAGGAAGGTCGGTGGATGTGGCAGCAGTGATCTCCAACACCCCGCAAGCGGATAGCGTGTCGCTCCGCTCCGCGGGGCGGGAGGCTGGGAGCAGCTCGAGACGTTGACGCCTTGAGCTGGGAAGTGGTCAGCGCGTCGCGCCGAAGCGTGGTGGGCCAGAGCCCGCGGCGCGACCCGCTGAGCCAAAGCTCCCGACGCGAACATCCCACCCCTCAGGCAGCCCCCCGGTCCTCGCGCGCTGCGCAGACCGCTGCGCAGCGCAGAGATCCTCGTCGCGCTCTCGCGCCCCCCCCCTCCCCCTGGAGAACATTTGGGAATCGATGCGCCCCCTCCTGAGCCTGGCTATCTCGCCCCCGGTGACGCTGCCCCCGAGCCTCGCGCGCTGCGCAGAGCGCCGCGCGGAGCTCCTCTCTTCGCGCTCTCGCCCCCCCCCGGAGAAGACTGGGGGTCGATGCGCCCCTTCCTGACTACCTACCAGACAACCCCAACCCAACCCGAAGACTCGAATTTCGGGTTGGGGGGGGGGGTACAGGTTCCATATGTGTTTTTTCAATGTTCCCCGACCCCCCCACTGGAAATGGAGGGCAAATTGAAGCCTTCGGGTTGGGTTGGGGTGGTTTGGTGGGTGGTGACTTCCTGAGTCCATCTCGCCCCCCTCCACGCAGCCCCTGAGCTTCGCGCGCCGCGCAGAGCGCGACGCTCGATCCGCTCCGCGCCCTCTCCCCTCCCCTGGGGGCGATGCTCCATCGGGGGGGGGGGGGGGGGGCAACAAGCCGGGGGCACCCGGCGTGCACCTCCGAGGCCGCAAGGGAGGGGGGGGGATCCCCCCCCGTCGGGGCTCCCGCCCTGCAGCCCTCCCGCTTCCCCTCCCCCCCACGACGACACGAGCCGCCCAGCCCCCCAGTACGAATAGTTTCTCTGACCCAGCTCTGGATTCAGGCGTCCAAATACTTGGGACCAGCGCATCTCATGATTGTCGTCCGACTTATTATGCGACAAACGGCTCCGCAGCTCAGCTCCACCTCGAGTGAAGTCAAGAAAACCATCACCCTTTGGAGAGAGGGGGGCAGCCTGCCGGCGCCAGGGGCGCGGAGCACGGAGCCCCCCCCCGCCCCCCCGCGGGGGGGGGGTGGCCCGGGCTGCCCCCCCCGCGGCCCCGCGGTCCGGAGGCGGGAGGGTCGGGGCGTCTGCCCCGCAGATAATCGATCCACCGAGCCCCGTCCCCAGCGGCGTGGCCCGGGCCCCGCTGGCCGATTTGCCCCCCTGGGCCCAGACACCCTCGAGTCATGAACAAAAAAATCGCGACGGGAGGTTTTTCCATATTTTCGGCCTCTGGGGGCCCCTATCCGGGCCTCGGGACCGTCAAAAAACGACTCAGGGGGGAACACTGGTCCTGGGGAATGGGTCCAAACCTCTGGGGGTCGACGTCATGAACAAATCATGACGTCGGGGGTCTGGGGATGGGGACACAGGCCGTCCTGTTCGGGTTTCGAGGGGTGCATCCACAGCTGGGGTGGTCATTTGGTGGGGGTCTCGAAGGGGAGGTCGCTGAGGACGGGGGCCGGTGAAACGACACCGATGCCCCGAAGGGGCACCAGCAGGCGCCAGCCGAGAGGGGCGAAGGGCCGAGCTCGGCACGGCACCCCGCGTGCGAGGCGGGGAGCTGTCCATACATCCACTGCCAGGGGGACCGACGTCCTGGGACCGCAGCGGGCGGTATGCTGTGGTCACGCCTGGGCCTCATGGGGCCCCGATGTATCCACGTCCGCCGCCTGCAGAAGATTCCGAAGAGCGATCTCCCAGGCGGTGGTGACGTATCAAATCCCGCCTCGGACAATGCCCATCTGGAGAAGGCGGCCAAGAGGGATCACGGATCAAGGAACAAAGCCTCTGTACAAAGGGTGTGCCTCTCCACACCTCTCACGGCCACAACCAGTGATGTCCCACCTCCGACCCCAGCCGGCTCCGAGTCTCGGCGCCCCCTGCGCGCTTGTTCCCTGCCCGAGGCGCGAGAGGTGCAGCTCGAGCCTCGCGGCACCGCTCGGGGTCTGGCCAGCTGTTGTGGCCAGGCTTCCCCGCTGGACATTCTCCCCCGCGGCCGACCAGTTCCTGCGATAGGAGGGGGCCGCCGCGCGACGCGGCGCCCTTTAGGCCCTCTGGCGTGGCGCCCCCGCTCACAAGCCTCTCCGTGCTCATCCTGACCCTACCCCCTCCCATCGTCCCTTCTCCGCCTGGCGGTGGGCAACGGGGGAAGCGGGGCTGAGGCTGAGGGGGGGGCGTCCCAAGAAGGCCAGGGGGGGGGGGGTCTTCTCAGAGGCCCCCCCGAGGGTCTGGACCAAAGCTTCCCCGGGGCCGGCTTCTCATCCCCAGTCGTTTCCGTGACGGTCCCGGGCCCAGAGGGGCCCCGGAGGCCGAAGGCGGGCAAACACCTCCGGGCGTGCTCCCTCCACCCAGAGATCTCGTGCCCAGGATCGGGGCCCCTGAGCTGAGAGCTGCTACACCCCTCAGCTTCACCCATGGGGGCCTCCCACATGGGGTCCGAGCAGGTGGGGTCGGACGATGGCGCCGCACTGCCAATCCATCGGCGATGCATCGCCGATGCGCGGGCGATGCATCGTCGGCGTCGGCGATGCATGGGCGCCGTCGGCGTGGAGAAAATCGAGCTCCACATCGAACGGCATCGCCGATGCATCGACGACGCGGCGCAGTTCTCCGACCCCCTCTGCTCGGAACCCAACTAGGAGGCCTAGAGCCCAATCGCCTCCGTCCCACCCTGCTGCCCAACGCACCTCTGACGCGCACGGTTTCTTGCTTGCTGGCGTGTTTCTCCCCTAGCGCTAGGTCGGGCGTGCCCCCATACAGGCGGATTTTGGACGGAAAAATACCCCAAACAAATTCAAACAAACATCGAACATGATAAGGAAAAACGTCACCAGGCTACATTTTTTTTTACCATTTTTTAATTTCCCCCCTGTAGAGGGACAGGCCCGACTTAACCCTGGCGAGAGGAGGTCCGAGGGGGGGTCCTGCGCCCCTCGTGGGAGGCCTCCAAGGGCGCCCCCGCGGAGGGCCAGGAAGGCCTCCGAGAGGCGGGGTGCCCTGACCGGAGCCCCCCCCTCCCCTGCACGGTTTCCCCCGGGGCCGTAGGCGAACCGAGGAGAAGGAGGAGGAGGAGGAGGAGGAGGAGGAGGAGGAGGAGGAGGAGGAGGAGGAGGGGGAGGAGGAGGAGGAGGAGGAGGAGGAGCTAAGGAGCTCCGCCGCCAGGGACTGAATGCCGAATTCGCCCGCATCCCCCCTGTGCCCGTTATAGGGCCTGGCCTTGAAGGGGCGGCGGACGTGCTAGGGTCGCCAGACATCACCAAGCTAGACTGTCTTCCCACCCCCGTGGACCCTGTGCCGGAGGGGGCAATTTCGACCGTTCCCAGGCCCGTCGACACGTCCGGGGTCAAGTTTGTGTTTCATCTTTTTTCTGGTCAGAGACGTGAATATGATATCCAGTTTTATTTCGAGGCCCTGCAGGTAAGATCAGGAGCCCAAGTGGTGATGCTCTCCTTAGATGTAGTGAATGATCCAATTCGAGGTGATCTGTCCAATCTGAATAGCCTGGCCACCCTCCTCCTTGCCGTACAGACGGGCAAGGTGTTGGGAGTGATCGCAGGGCCACCCTGCGAGACTTGGAGCGCTGCCCGGGCGCTCCCCCCACCCCCAGGTTCGCATAAGCCCCGGGTAGTGAGGAGCTCAGAGTTTCTTTGGGGGATCGCCGCTCGGACGGCGAAAGAGTGGCGGCAGGTAGACCTCGGCAATGCGTTGATGAGGGCCACCCTTTCCTTTGGTGTTGCTTGCGCTGGTGCAGGGGTGGCCTTTATCATGGAGCACCCTGGTCCCCCGCCCCGGCCCCATCTCCCCTCCTGTTGGCTTCTCCCCGAGGTCGCTTACATGCTCACCCTGGGGGGGAGGGGGCGGTGCCAAGACATCGAATTCGTGGACATAGATCAGTGTTCAGTCGGTTGCCAGGCTCGCAAACCCACGAGGCTTTTTACTATTAATTGTCCCCAAATCCGGGCCCGCGTCCAGGCTCTCCCACATTCAGGTGTCTGTCACCACGGTCCTGGCCAGCATGAGATCCTGTCAGGC